TTTCATATTATTACATGCAAGCGTGTTTGATTTATGGACCATGTTTTCGGACCCCGTTCCAGGGGGCGCTGTCGAGCCCCCCTGCCACGCCCGGGTACCATCTTCAGCCCGGCCCTGATGGCCGCGGGTTCTGACATGTGTGCAAAGTTTCAGGAGTTTTTGAGCATGTTAAGGCCTCCAAAAGTGTCCAAAAGGTAGCAGAAAAATAATAAGAATAATAATAATAATAATAATAATAAATAATCCTAAGGAAAACAATAGGGCCTTCGCCCTTTGGGCTTGGGCCCTAATAATAATCCTAAGGAAAACAATAGGGCCTTCGCCTTTTCAAGGCTTGGGCCCTAATAATAATAATCCTAAGGAAAACAATAGGGCCTTCGCCTTTTCAAGGCTTGGGCCCTAATAATAATAATAATCCTAAGGAAAACAATAGGGCCTTCGCCTTTTCAAGGCTTGGGCCCTAATAATCCTTAGGAAAACAATAGGGCCTTCGCCTTTTCAAGGCTTGGGCCCTAATAATCCTTAGGAAAACAATAGGGCCTTCGCCTTTTCAAGGCTTGGGCCCTAATAATAATAAAGAATAATCCTTAGGAAAACAATAGGGCCTTCGCCTTTTCAAGGCTTGGGCCCTAATAATAATAATAAATAAATATAGCTGCGAGCAGCGATTACGGGCCCAAGCCGGTGGCACCGCAACCCCGGTGCCTTTAGTTACCTAAAGGCACCGGGGTGGCGGTACCACCGGCTTTGGCCCTTCATCGCTGCTCGCAGCTATATTTATATATATATATATATATATATATATATATATATATATAAAGCCGGTGGCACCGCCACCCTGGTGCCTTTAGGGTTATTGTGCACGACGTGCAAAAACGTAACCCTGCTTTGACTGTCGAAAAGAAGTGTGCTGTAGAGCTTGTATCAGTGTGGGCTCTGCAAAAGTGTGCATTGAGGGCACATATCAACCACAAAGTATGCGAGAGCAACCTTCTGAAAGGTCAGGTCTACATCCAGGTCTACATCTGCCGTGTGTTTACATCATAGTAGTGAAGTTTGAAGCAATCAGGTGATTTCAAAGCTTTTTGAAAGTGACAGACTTCCTGCTGCCAGTTGGTGGCGCTATAACCGGGGTGGCGGTGCCGCCGGCTTTGGCCCTTTCATCGCTGCTCGCAGCTATATTTATATATATACACACACAAACACACACACACACACACACATATATATATATATATATATATATATATATATATATATATATATACATAAATATATATATATTGTTTTTTTAAGAGACAAGACAGAATATTACTTGCCTGATCTGATTAGAAAAATATGTGTGTGTGTGTGTGTGTGTGTGTGTGTGTGTGTGTGTGTGTGTGTGTGTGTGTGTGTGTGTGTGTGTGTGTGTGTGTGTGTGTGTGTGTGTGTGTGTGTGTGTGTGTGTGTGTGTGTGTGTGTGTGTGTGTGTGTGTGTGTGTGTGTGTGTGTGGCGTAATTGAACAATGTAGACATAAAAACATACTCCGTCCTTTTGTTCATACAGGACATTATTCAAACTGCAAAGTGTTTACTTATATTTGTGTACACTTGCAATAAAACACAACATTGTGCTTTTGTCAAGCTATAAACTCTTGTCAAACTGTAAACTACAACTGTCACCCAACCAAAATCTCTTACACACACACACACACACACAGTTTAAAAGCAAAAAATATCAAACAATCCTATTTAAAAACAGTCTGTGGGAGCCATCTTTTGGACATTCATCATATCGCATTGGTTTTCATTTCTTGTCATCAAACAGAGCCCTAATCTGTTTATTTTTTCAGTTACACATTCTACATTGATTAAAAAAGAAAAATCAAATGTGTTTTTATTTTATACAGAAATAAATAATCTATCATTCAGATGAGAATAAAGTTAGTGTTAGTTCAAATTTTAAGGAAAACAAATATATGATCTGAAATATAGCACATTCATTTAAAATTCATTCAGGTTCAATTACCAAACATACAATCTTAATGTAATTTAAAGCAAACAATACATTTAAAATATATGGGTTGTATGACTATTTTTTAATATAAAAAGATATATATCCAAAAAGACAAGGCCTAAAGTTTAACAAGGGTTAAACTCTTATCACTGTAACAGACACAATCACACACACAATCACACACACACACACACAAGTCAAATCACTTACATTTTACATGCAATATTGACTTTTTTTCTGTTTCAGCAGCGAAAATAGTTAAACAAAGATCACAGCAGAACCATCGCGCATCTCACAGCAACGCGTTCTCATTACTGAATGATTCAGCATTTTGAACGAATCGGTTGACTCAAAGATTCAATGACCAATCAATCCATAAACATCTATCTCATTCATGAATGACTCAGTCGTTCAAACGAATGAATCAATGACTCGCTCATTAAGACGGTCGCCTGGCGACACCTAATGACGGTTTAGTGTTATGTTTAAAAGTATCATTCTTTCCAACGATTGTTAATTAACTCATATTTGAAACATAAGCTATATTTATATATATACATACATATACACAGACATACACAAAAATAAAATAAAAACACATTTGAAATGTGTTTGCTTACTAAATTGTGAGCTGAACGAAAGTTGCAGCAAATATCAGCAACAGGAGTCAAATTTCATTAATCACGAGAGTGAAGAGCTGACTGAAAAGATGATGACGGAATAGGCTATTTTATGTAAAAACGCCTATTTAAGCGAATCTGTCATTGTACTCTTTTATTGTTGTGTTTTCCGTGAAAAATAATAGACTATTGAACTCACAATTCAAGCAATCGGCCCCCGAAATTGCACTAATTTTAGTGACACTAAAAAGTATGCGGCTGCACTGGCATTCATAATGGTGCGCGTCCATGGCGACGAGCGAGCAGAACAGAGCGAACGTTTAGTTAATTTCTACTTCCATAGGAATTCATTCGAGCGCCACCATTTCAATGTCCGTGCGGACGTCCATATTATACTTTCGCTTTCAAGTTAGTGTTTTTAAACCCCCCAGCGGGAGGTTTACACAATTGGTTTACACAATCACACGTTGATTAACCGGTGGGAAAATATTCCCATAGTAACATCCCTAATATATAAATATATATAAATTCAATAGGCCTACCTGATTTTGAACACAAGAGGGCAGTATAGCACTATATATGATTTGGATTATTATTATTTTTGACTAAACAACCATTCTGGCTGTTTTTAAACTTAAAAATAATTCTTAAATTGAAAAAAAGGAATAAAATGGGTTTAGTTCTAATATTTGTATAATTTTATATAAAAATAAATGGTGTATAATTACATTTTAGAAAGATATGAGACATGCCCTGATTCTTTTTTTGACATTACTTGAATCCCTCAACCATAGCAAAACCGTTTGAGATATTCAATATCTGTTCACAATTTAGCATCTTCAATGTATTTTCATCATGTTGAAAAAGTTTGGCATGAATAAAATAAACTACTTAGGAGGAGTAGCTAAAAACTCAGAATCTGAAATCCACATTCAAACCAAAATATCTGACTTCCTGTTGGTCGTAGCTAATTACGGTAAATTAGAAAGTTGTCCGGCTCGAAGAGTACAATATACATATCGAGTTTTGTTACTGTAGATAAAACTAACCCCCCCACTTTTGTCAAAAGCATTTAGAAAGTGACACACTTCCTGCTGCCAGTTGGTGGCGCTATAACTTTGACTCACAATAGTCACATCCATGTGATCGGCCTCTTACAGCGATCACACTGCTGAAGTTTCATCAAGATCAGTTAATGTATGCAGAAGTTATAACGCACTTCCTGTTTCACGTTTCTCGCCATAATTTTGTTTCCTCGCCACGGCCAAACCGTTCGAGATATCAAAAATCCCCTCGCAAACTTTCATCCTCAATGTCTTGACTTCATGCTGACCGAGTTTCGTGCCGTTTGTTTGAATTCTCTAGGAGGAGTATTTCACATTCCATTGCGTGTGTTTTACCAACAACCCTAAATAGCCGACTTCCTGTTGGGCTGGGGTAAAAAGTAAGAGTGTGAAGTATATATGAAACGAGGAGATCTACATGTGTACCGAGTTTCATATTATTACATGCAAGCGTGTTTGATTTATGGACCATGTTTTCGGACCCCGTTCCAGGGGGCGCTGTCGAGCCCCCCTGCCACGCCCGGGTACCATCTTCAGCCCGGCCCTGATGGCCGCGGGTTCTGACATGTGTGCAAAGTTTCAGGAGTTTTTGAGCATGTTAAGGCCTCCAAAAGTGTCCAAAAGGTAGTAAAAAAAAAAAATAATAATAATAATAATAATAAATAATCCTAAGGAAAACAATAGGGCCTTCGCCCTTTGGGCTTGGGCCCTAATAATCCTTAGGAAAACAATAGGGCCTTCGCCTTTTCAAGGCTTGGGCCCTAATAATCCTTAGGAAAACAATAGGGCCTTCGCCTTTTCAAGGCTTGGGCCCTAATAATCCTTAGGAAAACAATAGGGCCTTCGCCTTTTCAAGGCTTGGGCCCTAATAATAATGTGGGCCTAAAAATAATAGCCTATAGGGCTGGCTATCTATCTGTCTATCTATCTATCTATCTATCTATCTATCTATCTATCTATCTATCTATCTATCTATCGTGTGGGGCCCCAACTGCAATGAACCAGCTTTGGGGGGGGCCCAGCTTGCAAAAGGTTGAGAACCCCTGGTCTATAGTGATGGCTAGGTAGAGTTTTTGGGCCACCCCCCTTTGGATCAGGTTTCCCAGAAGTCTTGGCGTCGGGGCTGGTGTGGTGATCGATGGGCGGTTAGGGCCGGTCTTGTGTGGGTCGCTGCGGAGGCAGGTAGCCAAAACAGCATTTCTTGGTCTTTCGGGACTTTGTTCCCAGTTGTGGGACACTGTGCTGTCATGCTCAGGCTGTGCAGCGGTCAGCTGTGGTGGCTGGGTGATGCTGTCACTTTGTGATGTGACAGCTTACCAGTGGCATGTTGAGAGGGGTACCGCTCCGGGCTGTCTGGGCTTGAGTCTCTTGGTGATGGGGGTTGGCTGTTTCTGGGTCGCCGGCAGGCTTCCAAGAATCTTTCAGAGCGCTCGCTCTGGTGTCTTGGACGAGCACCATCACGGTTGTGCTGCCCTCTGCTGCCCTGGAACGGTCTTGACTCTCTGTAAAAAGGGCTGTGGTGTTGTGGGGCGCCCTCTAGAGGCAGCTCTGAGTAGTGTTCAGAGACAGAGTAGATTGTGTGGTCTTTCAAAGTCTTTTCGGACACAATCTTTTGCTTAATGTGAGCTTTGTGGGCCAAGTCTCGTAGCTGTTGGGTAGACATGCCACGGGGACAGGCCAGGATGCCTAAGTGATGACTCACTGTGGGATGCAGATTTCGAAGGAACAAAGTTCTGAAATTGACATCCTGGCTGGTTCCGTGCTCCGAAGTAGGCTTGTCGGAGTCGCTGTAGTAGGTCTGTGGGGTTTCAAGTCGGGCCTGCTTGAGGTCCATGGCGGTGAATAACCCTTGGTCTGATTCTGGATCAGAGAATTCACGGATCAAAGCTTGTTGCAGCTGCTGGTAGTCCGTTTTGATAGTCTCTGGTTGACGGTCAAGGAAGCTGCGCACATCACGACTGGAAGTGATTCTTAGCAGGTAAAATCTGTCCCACGTGGTCGCGTTGGTAACAGTTTGTAAGTGAAAGTCAATGTCTTGCAGGTGGGCGTGCACGCCCTCCTGCAGGGTTCGGAGTGAACGTCTGGATGTTTCTGGCCAGCTTGTCAAGTTCTTTGGGGGCCGTGCCGTGGTTAGTGGCATGGGTTCTCTTGAAGGCCCCCCCCCCCCCCCTTGCTGCTGGCGGGGGTTCTTGTGGGCTGGCTGGTGGTGTCTTGAACGGTGGACTTTCGCCCCCCTTTTCAGCTCTTAGCTCTTGGCTGAAAGATGCAGACCGGCTGGTCGGGGGAAACTTTGTGGTGTGTTTCTCCCCTTCCCGGTCACTCTGCAGTCTATAAGAGGGTTTCAACACTAAGTGGACAATGTCAAGTTCATCTTTAAGATCGTCTCTGTGCTGGCTAAGCTCATGGATTTCAGCTCGGGACGTTTTTAAGTGTTTTTCACAGGCCTTTGCTTTAGCGTCTCTTTCTTTGAGTTCAGTCTCTGCTCTTGCGAGGAGAGCTTCAACGTGTCTGAGTTTTTCGTCGAGTTCCTCTCTGGTTTTCCTCTCCGACTGCTCTCTTTGGTCTGTGTCCAGACGAAGATCAGACAGGGCTTTTTGGAGTCTTTCCACTTCATCTTGTAGCTCAGGGTCTGTTGCATCCCTTTTCCCGCGCTGGTCGTGGGTCTCCAGGAGTAGCTGGTCCAGACGAGACTGAGCGTGGGTTTGGTTCCTCCGGGCCTCCTCCGCTTGAAGCTTTAGTGTTGCGGCTTCCTGCTCCAGGTTGATGCCGTGTCTTTCGCTGAGCCGTGCCTGGTCGACAAGTGTGTGAGCGAGATGTCCAACGATTTTGGCCCAGTCTTTGTATTGGTAGCTCTGGGTTGGATCGTGGGTCATCAGCTTGTCCAAGTCGGCGTCCAGCTGCTCTTGGCTCGGGGGCTCTGAGTCACCAGCGTCCTCGGGCAGGAAGGTAGCCGTCATGGCTGTCAGCCATGTGTCGAGGTTGTCCCAGTGGGCTGCGGGACTGGAGGCACGGGACATACTGACTCACTGTGGGCGAGAGAAACACAACACACACACAAAGAGACCAAGGCAAGTTCGTTCTACGGTTAACGAATTATGCTAATACGGGCTATGCCGTCTATGAGAATTTTGGCTAACTGATGCAGACAGTTAGATTGGGACAATTTGCGTAGGTCAGCGCAGGGCCTAAATAAAGATTTTGACAGGGCGGCAGCCTAGTGGGTCACGTGGTGACGCTAGCTGCTCAGTGGTCGATCTGTTATTTAGCTGTCCTTCGTGTCTCTCATAGGTTCTGTCTCTAGGTGAACTGAAAGAAACAAATCACAACAGAACGGAAAAATAGCGAGATAGAAAAGATTACAGTAAAATGAAACGAAACAAATTAATAGGTCTGTAATGAAATGGGAGATATACTAACACGGAAAGTGTTACAGGGGATAAGGAGGCCTGAGCCTGCTATTGTCAGGATACAGGCACAGAGACAGAGGTAAGTGAATTCAAACGTGAGTTTATTTACAGTGAATCAAGTGCAAAGGTGAGTAGCAACATTCAGGTGAAGATTCGCTGATGATCGCTATGTGCAGGGCAGATTCCAGGTGAGCATATCCTCCTTAAGTTAGTAGAATTCAAGCAATCACAGTTCATTAATACTTGTCTTTTTCTCTTTCAGTTGTGACCACGGGCAAGTTGAACTCAGCGGGAATACCGGACACTCAGATGAATACCAGATCTCGGGAAACATGGAATCAGACAGGACTTCTGGAGATAGCAGGACAAGGACACAGAGGTTAGTATTTCACAGGTGAGTATACGTTACTTGGTGGTTTCAGGATGATTCAGAGACTTCGGGAGGCAATGGGTTATGGTCTATTCCTGTTGGAGGCTTGACAAAGACTGAAGTATCCGTGAGTGTTTTATTGAGCTGGGTGATGAGGTAATTGATGGTGCACAGGTGTGTGTGATTAATACTCTGGGGAGAGTGATCTCTGAGTGGTGGATGGAAATGAGTCTGATTGATTCCTGACAGCTATCCAGCTGGGTTTTATTGCCGGGCCCACAGGGTAGTGGGTTTACCGGTGGAAAACCTAGGGAAAAGGGGTGTGGCTTAGAGAAGAGAAGATGGGCTCAACACTTAAATGGCCGGGGGAATATCTAATATTCTGTGGCCTATACTAAGTGGATGGATTTTACCTTATTTAGTTTGCCTGGGTGAATTGAGGTCACTCTGGTTGGAGCCAGCGTTGTGGTTAATCCTTCCGTCGTCCCCACACTCAACCGCCGTGTCCCCGGGCCTCTCTGTTCATCTGTACCAAGGTGCGTTCCTCTCAAACAATCTGCGACTTTGGAGTGCCAGATTGCTGATGACACAGTTTATGTGTCGCACCAATGGAAAGAGACAGAAAAGTCCGAGACTCACTCACGGTCCGCGTCGGTAACGCCGGTCAGACAAACCAGCTTGCCGGAAACCAACCAGAGATGACTGTTGAATCACCACAGCGCCCTAGGGAATTCTACATACAAATACAGAACAGGATTTAGCAAGTGAAACTTAAAGTGAATTAAGGCTTTCTTGTTTAACCAAATTGAGTAATTATGTGTGTAGAAATAAAGGCAAATGCTTTACTAAATAATAAAAAACAAAAGGAAATTATGATAATGTTGGTAATTATCAAAATGACCTAACCCAAAAGAGAAAATAGAAAATAAAGAAAGCCAGATGAAACAAAGGAGGAGGTAGGCTGTAGTAGCGTGTTTGTGCCACAAGGGTACGTACTTCCTCAGTGGTGGCCCACCTGACTTGAATGGACAAACTTAATTCAAATTAAATTCAAAGAAGGTTAAATTAAATTTAAATAAGCATGTAAGAAGAATTAAAAGGAAATTCAGAATAATATCCGATAATCACCAATGATAGCAGTGAAGTATCATTAATAATTATGAAATAATCAAAAGAGAAAGGTAGAACTAAAGAGAGCAGGCTGAACGCAGGAGGAGGTGTACCGTAGTAGTGGGTTTTCGCCACAAGGGGCTTCCTCCCTGTGGTTAACCTGGTTGAATCAGCCACCTTAATTTAAATTTAAATTCAAAGTTGTTCGAACAAAATTCAAATAAGCGTGTAAAGAAAGTTCAAGATCAGAATTGTATCTGATAATAAATCAGATGGCTGAATAGACAAACTTAATTTAAATTAAAATTTAAACTTGTTAAACTCAATTTAAATAAGCGTGTACCGAAAGTTAAAGATCAGAATTATCTCTGATAATAATCAAGATTACTGCAAGGTATCATTAATAATTATGAAATAATCCAAAGAGAAAAGTAGAAATAAGTGATTCAAAACAGAATTGAAGAGAGAGAGAGAAGAGACTTGACAGCTGTGAACCGACGGCCACTGGATGGTTTACTTCCCTCTAAGTGGGCCAATCAGTGGCTGAGTCTGAGCTGACACTTCACTTTAAATTTTAATCCAAATCTTGTTTGAATCAAACTCAAGCCAAGTACAAACAGTCAGAGGCAGGATAACTATCTAACGTTCAACAATATTAACACAAGCAATGCTTTTCAATGCGAATATGTATTGAAAGTTAGACCGCAAAGTTCATAATCACAGGGAAAATGAAAAAAAAAAACGAGAGAATTTGAGAACAGAGTGACCTGTTTGCGAATGCCCACACGATGGCGCAATTTCGCTCGCGCAGAATGACGTCACGGAGCGGAAGTAATCTGAGACTGTACTGGAAGGCTGCCCTCCAGTGTTTGTCAGCGGAACTACAACCACCCGGCTTCAAAGTGATTTAAATCTGAGTGCGTTTCTACGCATCAGTTTTCTGCAATTTCAAAATCTCGGCGGATTTTTTGGTGCTATACTGCACAAAAATGCATGGCAGGCTTTCTTGACTGCACTACGCGTGAATGTGAACAACAGGAATTATGCGTCTGTCGTTTCGGCTCCCGTACACACAATCAATATAGCACTTATGATTAAAATGTGTTAGGTTTACAATTGGTTAGCTAAGCCAATTTTTACCAGGAGTTATCGTTAATCTAACGATTATATATCAGGCCTTACTAAGATGAGCAAAGAGCATCGTTTACTCGACCTTTTGATCCCACTGGAAGAAGAGTCTCGTTCTTGAACAGGGGATTTTTAATATTAAAATGTAGCGCGTCTTTACAGAGGCAATTTTAATATTATTAATATAACTGCAGTTTAATTTAGCAATTAAAAGTGGCAAAAAAGTGTTAAGACATCTTTTTAGCAGCAGTTAATGTGCTGAGCTGAGCTCGGTTTGTGCCTACGGTCAGCTTTAGTCCGGGAGCTCGCGTTGCGCGACTCACGGTTTGAAACGCGCGTACAAAAATTAAATAACAATATACACATATAGACTGAAACTGAATTGCTCATAAATAAATTTAAAATGTGCTAAGCATTTTCTCCACCAATTATGTAAAGTATCTCGGGTCATTCTTGAGGAATATATTCAATATTTAATAATTACAAATTAATAACTATTGATACGGGTTTGACCCAGATAACCATACAGTTAAAATTACCCAGCAAAGGGGGTTACGTTGCCAATCTGTTATGAACGACTGAATACAATGGATTTATAATCAATTATTCATACAGATAGATCAATAGGCAAGATAGATCAATTTTATTTATTAATAATCAAATCATAACGAATTATAATTCAATATTCATATACAAATTGTCTAGAATATATAGATTCTCAGGATACTCCTCAATGGAATTAATTCGTATCGAATAATCTGTTTGTCCAGCAAACTGATCATGGATCTTCATCAACTCCCACAGAGAAATTACCTTTAA